ATTAAAATAATATATATGTAGATATATAATGTTGAATTGTTTATGTTTGGCTTATCCGTTACAATATAAATTTGTTATATACTAATGATGCATACAAATATATATTTATATAAATTTATTTATTTATTTATTCATTCATTTATTAATATATTATTTCGAATATTCATGATCAAGGGTACAATTAGAATAAATGTACCCTTTATCAATTTTTAAATTAATCAAACTAATTTTAATTTATATTACTGAGTTAAAATAATAGAGAAAAAAGGAATTTTTTTAAGTAATATAGCTTAATAAATGTAAAATAATGCAACTTTGTCGTCTTATTGTGATTGTTTTTGCATGAAAATGTAATAGATTCTTTTAAAGAAAATAAAAAATTATTCAAATAAAAATCCAATTTTAATGAAATAGTATTATATATAATAATATCCTAAAATAAAATATTCACTAATTTTTTGCAAATCATTAGTTTACCATTAAAAGTAAATAATGAATAGTACATTTTATTTATGTAATGATACTTTCATTGTGGATTAAGTAGATTAATGAATGTTATTATAAATAGCATGTACGTAGCACGTATATAATCAAAATTCTCTACCAGGTACATTGATGATACAACTTTTGTAAATAAAAATTTTAATTTATTTATAGACATTTAAAAATTATTCGTTAATCTAATTGTGAATTTATGAAATTAATGATTTTATCCTTTATATTTTTTTCCCTTTTACTTTTGAAATTAATTATAATTTTCACGATATATTAATATACACATAGCTTCTATTAATTAGTTATTTTTCCTGTTTTATTATATTCTTTTATTTTATTTATCTAATTAAATGAAAAATCAAGGTACACTGAATGCCAAGGAACCTGTAAAAGTTATTTGTGATTGTATTTTTTTTTTTGTAAGAGGGAGATTATTTTGTATAAAGTGTTGGCACATTCAGTTTGATAAGACAAAGTCATTGACACTAAATACAAAAATGCTCTTTCAAAAAAATATTTATCATTGAGACATCGTTTAATTTAGAAATTAAGTGCTAATGTTTTTCATTAACATCCGATTAAGCAATAAAAACACATTTCGAAATGAGAAATGCCTATAAATTATGTATTTAATAACAGAGACTGACATCAGAGAATTTCATTATACAATTAATTGACGTGAAAATTTCGTATGATAATATTTACAATTATAAATAATTTAAAATCCATTATACTATAAGTTCATACTTCAATTTTTTTCAATAACACTTATTACATTCAATTTGATGAACAATATGCTTTTTTCTTACTCGGTAAACTTGATATTATCACTTTATACTTATCTACTAATACCTTGATCCTCGTTTTTAAGCATTTAAGTACTCAAGCATAGGCTCATTAATCTCAATTGCTCTGTAAATCCGTAGACAATGGCCGACGTCCAGGTGATTGGTTTTGCCGGAATCGCGTTATATTCGCAGTTATCTCCTTTTGGCTGTCATGGGTTCCAAAGTATTAACATCAAAGTGTCAAAATACCTTTTGGCAGCTCGCTTGTTAATGAGCGAAGCTGCGGCTAATTTAATTTTATTTGCGTGCTTGCGCCTTACGCTTCTTAAGTTAAGCTTCTCGTTGGTGATTTACTTGACCAAGAGTTGAGAATATGAGAATAAACATTATTTGACAACGCGAGTAACGTAATAACTTTTACAGGTTCCTTGGCATTCAGTGTACCTTGATTTTTCATTTGATGACACACGATAACCGATAATCCACGATAATCTAAATACAGATTTTGCATTCTAATATTGTATGTACGTATGATTAGAATATTTTAAAAGTCGACCACTAAATTACATATCTATTCTATAAAATCTACATATAACAGAAGTAAGCTTAGATGAGAGAATCACGTGCTAAAGAATAGAAACACGTATACTGGAAAATTGACGGAAGTCGAATACTTCGAACAAGAGGCAAATCCCGGAACCTCATGTTTTTCGCGTTCCTTTTTCATTTTCTTTCTCTCTTTCTCCCTTTCCTTACTGCGTCTCCTACTCGCAAGTGCTGCGAACTGTACAATTAGAGCGTTACAGAACTGTTCATTACTCCGAACAAGAGGCGCATCGTCCCGAGTCCGACGTTCCTTCCTCCTCCCCCCTCCCCTTCCTCTCTTCCCTGAGAATGAACTTAGTATCTTTTTTTAGTTTTCTTTATCTCTTTAATCTCATTCTTTCTCCACCCTTACTCACGTATTTTATATTTTTTCACAATTTCGATCCGTTTTTCACACGATTAAAATTCCATGTATTTTAAAAAACATACTTCAAATTGATTTTGGATTAATGTCAGCTCATTATAACTATTCGTTAGTATTTATTAAATTGAAATGTCTGATAATTTTGATTTTTTTTTTTAATTTTTCTCTATTTTAAAAAAGTGTCTCTTCAATTACAAGCCAATAGAATAATCATAACTAAACATTTGATTATACAAAACAACGACTAAATTAATTAGTTATGTAATAATTGTTGTTGAAATCAACTGTATTATACCAATGAATTTGTCATCAAATTGATTTTGTATTCGGTACTTCAGAAAGGTCAGTGAAATTTTTGCAAAAATCCACATGCATTTTGCGCGTAGCTTATTACATTAGCCAGGCTCTTTGATTAAAATCGAGTTACAATGTCATAATTGCTTACATTTCTTAAATGTATTTACAGTGTGGATGATTACAGGTATTTGAAGAAAAATCGTCGATTCAGCCCTGTCGAGCCCAAGAGAAGGGTGGAGTAGCTTGCGTCCATTGTTATACATTCATCGAGCGGGAGTCTCGTGTCGAAAACAAAAGCCGTGACGGACGTTTCCTGGTGAAAGAGCGGCAGAGTGCGGCAGTCCTTCTCCTTCCGGCCGTCGATCGGACGGCTTCCGCTGTACTCGACCTCTTCGTCCCAATGCTTTTAATTGAGCCCCTTGCCACTCGATCGCTCCACACTCTCTATCATTGAAATCTCCGAGCGATCGCGTGGCAATGACCCGTTGACCCCGATGACCGGCTAACGATCGACCCACCGCGTAGATCCGCCACTTGCGCGCCGATCGCCCTCGCCTCTCTATAAATCACGGCACGTCCAACTTTGATCTCTATGTCGATCTCGTGCACACGAACGATACAGATTCTTGCAAGGGACATTTTTTCCGCTTTCGGTTTTAGTCTTCGGCGAGCCTTTTCCGCACATGTACCGATGCTGCCAATGAGCTTTCCCAAGTAGGACGCCTGATGACTTTGGCGCTATCCCCGAATGAGTGTACATACTTCTTCTCGGTACTAGACGACGTTTCTTTTAGTTTATATTGGCGACGTTACGTACTCTCTACTTATCTTCTTGTCTGCTTTATTTAAGTGCTCGATTTAACATGAGTGAATTTGTTATAATTCGTGATTATATGTTTATGTATTAAAGGCATGAATTGATATTGCATTAAGCATAAACAGTAGAGCACTAAGTTTTTCTTCGTTATTTGATAATAAATACATTTTATTTGCACAATCCGAACAACTTTTCAATATTTAAATGTATATTGCAGATATTTTCACACATGAAAGACATTATTTTGCAAAAGTTCTTAACTTAATTAATTTCGATATTTTGAATTTATGTAGTTTTTAAATTCATGAATTAATTTAGTCTCAAAAATATAATCAATTTTAATATTGTTTATTAATATTATTAATTATAAAGAGCCATAATGTAAGTTAATATAATAATAGTGACCAAAGTTTATATAATTTTCATAAATATAAGTTCTATTTAGAGTATCAATCAATTATGATATTGCAATATTGAATATTAGTATTTTTACTTTCAATTACACAAATATAAAAGATTTGAAAATTAAGTTGCAACGTCGGGAGAAACTATTCATCGACAATACTGCAAAGATGGAACGGGACGTGGATGGTAATCGAAATTCACACGCATCGTCGTCTATCAAGATCAAGTGCACTTGCGCGCTTGTATATGTTTATAGGTGCTGGTACAGTCTACGAAGCTCTATCAGATAATTGTTACTGATTACTGATAGTATCTCATCAGCATTGATCGTAGAGCGACTTTAATTAGGCGATAGAGGCTAATGACAGAGTCCGACGTTCCTTGTGTTGATTGACGGCCAGCATCTGTGTTAGGTATCGTTCAGTTTCCTCCAAGGATCTTTCCTTAGTTTGCTTGTAAGCTCGGAAAATGTATAAAACAATCATTGCTTATATAATCAAAGCAAAATCTGCCAAAAGAATTTTTATATTCATTCACTTTTCAATATATGAAAAATTATCCAAATTATCATGTCTATTCTATGGTGAAAAGCTTAATTTTGTAAATATATTTAAATAAGATGAAATATAATTAATTACATTAATGAATTTATATTAAAATTGTATATAATTGATCATAGTAAAATATATTTTTACAATGTGCATTTTATTTATATATTGATTTTGAAATATTTATTTTTAAATTTTTGTACACACATATATATATATATATATATATATATATATATATATATATACGAAAATTTTACAAATTTGCTTATATAATATTTCATTAAACATGAAAATGAAAAGAAAGTTATTGAATTTTAAAGATTTATATATGCATATTTTTATATTTGAAATATATGCACAAATATATATACAAAATATAAGTAAAATGTAAAAAATCATTGTTTTAATGAAATAACGAAATAAGATAATGAAATAATTATAAGAATGTACGGAGAATTCTAATTCAACAAAAAAATGCTAGATAGTTTATATAGTGTATTTACTCGCACACATGCAGAGTATAATAAAAGTTGTAAGATTTGGTTTTTAAAAATACTCCTAACGTACAAGCATGATGAGAATGAATGAAATTTTATAAAATGGCATTTATTCAAGTTTGTTTGTATGCGCATGCGCAGTGAGATTTGGCGAAATATATGCAGAGCTTTGGAAACAAGAAATTGCGGAACACAACGAACTACGAGACAAATTTCCGGTTACCCGCCTATACTGAGTATCGTGATCGTTGTGAAAATTAATTTTTGTAATTTCGACAGATAGATCATTAGCTACAAAAATGTTGATTAAAGTGAAGGTAAAGCGTTTATTCTTGTGTTATTGTGAAAATCTAACGTGAATAATGCGTCACTGATCTGTCGATTCTTTACTTTTCAGACCTTGACGGGAAAAGAAGTGAGTATTCAAATTATTCTAACCTAGTAAAATACAACAAGCCGGCTATTGACTTATTGTATTAGAGTTTTTAGTAGATTAGATTTTTACATAACAAATGTTTTGTGGAAATGCTAATGATTTATGTTTGATATCAGAAATAACCCTAACCTCAATCAACATAATATGCAATGCATAATGTAGCAATGACTATATAAATGAGTATTTACTTTTGTTATTAGTGAATTTAAATGCTGTGTAATACTATGAGTTAATTATATCCCTTGAATAAAATATATTAGCAGAATTTAAAAGACCCCATAAATGTCTTGTTGCAGTTGATTTATTTTTATTTTCTATCGAATCTGTTTCAATATTTGTTATCCACATATTTAATACCAAATATAGATGTTCAAAAAATGAAGTTATTTGTATTATTATTAATCTAAGTTTTATAAACATTTTTAACAATTTTTAATTCTAATAGAAAATTTTCAAGATAAAATCTTTTCTAATACTGTAATGATTGCTTGAGAAAGCAGGTAAATGCAAATACTTATTTAAGTGTCATTATTAAATTTTAATTCTACTTCATTTTTTTAAATTTATTACCAATAACAAATAACTTTATATAGTATAAACTTATAAGTGTATAAAATATAAATTTATATCAATATAAAATGTTATATCTCTTATATATTTCATCAAATATTGTTCTAATTATTAAATAAATGTAATGAAAATTTTTAGAAGTAGAAAAACAATTTGATTTTTTAATATACTTAAATTTAATTGCATCATCAATTAAAATATATTTTTATTCAAGTATATATATATATATATATATATACACAGCCATATATAGCGAATAATCCCTATAAACTATTATGTAGCTCTTGTTAATTATTCTTCGTCGATGTTATGATACTATGCACGATTATTAAATATAATTTAATAAATTTTCATGATCACCATTTTCAGTATTACTTACTATACTTTCACTACTCATTGTATAGAAATTTCATAGAATAAGTTCCTTTATTTATGTTTAATGACACTGCTCATTTACATAGAATAATTTTATTATTGAAAATATCTTTAATTTAGATTGAAATAGATATTGAGCCTACTGACAAAGTCGAAAGAATCAAAGAACGAGTCGAGGAAAAAGAAGGCATTCCACCACAACAACAAAGACTGATATTTTCAGGAAAACAAATGTATAGATTTAATAATTATTATGGCTGTGTCTTTTTAATAATAATATTACAAAAAAAATTAATTTAATTTCTTTTTTAGGAACGATGAAAAGACTGCCCAAGATTACAAAGTTCAAGGTGGTTCGGTTTTGCATTTGGTACTTGCTTTAAGAGGAGGTCTATGAGACTTTCCTGTGGAATGCAAAGTGTATTTTATAAGGAATGAAAAACTACACTGAAAAGCTTTCGTAAATTAATTTGTTTTTAATGTTTAAGCTTTATAAGTGTAAGATGTAAAGAGTAAGAATAAAAAAATAAATAATTTAAAATAAAAAGTCTTTAATACTATATGTCATGAAATTATATAATTAATAAAATGAATAATTTGTAAAAGAATAGTTATTGTAATTATTTATGTACCTTAATAACCCATTTTATTCAAGTATATATGATGATTTCATAAATATTGTAAGTTAATATAGATTTATTTTTAAAAATGTATTTGAACTTCAATACTGAACATCATTTGAATATATTTTTAATAATATACAAACCCATATGTTTCATTAACAAAAAAAAAATATATATATATTTTAGAAATAATAATAACATATATTACTAATAAACAAACGCTTATAATAAAGTATGTATAAATTGTTTGCCTTTTGTAAATAATTTAATTTTTAAAGCTTTTGGTATAATAAATTCTACTTTCAGTTCCTTATTAGTTCCTAATTTCTGTTATATATATATATATATATATATATATATATATATATATATATATATATATATATATATATATATATATATATATATATATATATATATATATATATATATATATATATATATATATATATATATATATATATATATATATATATCAATTCTTAGTCACTTAAAGATAAAATTTACACACGTTTCTGTCGATTGAATAAATCCACTTCGAACATCAATGTCGTTTTAATTATAGTTGTACATGCTGTAATGCCAACAAATATGCATTTTGGAAAAATATTTCAAAGAATTTCAAAAAACAAAACTAAAATAACGGGAAAATCATCAGCTTTTGAGTAAAGTATCATTATAATACAAAAAAAAATTTTTGTAATGAAAGCATGAAAAACCTTATAGCTGGTAATTAAGAATACCAATTTCATTTGCTTTAAAATTAAACTTAGTACTCTTTAAAGACTTTTAAAAAATGTTTATGAAAAAAATTAAATTAATAATAATTTAAATAATGATAGTATACTTTTATAATTCCATATAATAATATGTGAAAATATCTTGTTACTTTGTTTTAATCGTTAATATTCATGAAAAAATGTATTATATGTAATATATCAATATTACTTATAATGCAATAAAATATGAATATAATGCAAGATAATGTAAGATTTTAATTTTTAAAAATAATAAATACGAAGCACTAAAAATTTTTTGTTTTTTTTTTTTAATACTATTAGTGGAACATATCTATCGTGTTAAAATAATTCATTTTAAACGATAATCAAATATTGTGCTAAAATAATTAAGGGCCAATAAAATAATCTCTTTCTAAAATACGAGAGAAAAATAGAGCTAGTAAGATCCTTGAAGAGAGAAAAAAACTTAAGGAAGCTTAAAGAAGCCTAAAACAAAATAGTATAGAGTGCTTAACGGGGCAATAAAAGCGTAAAAAGCAAGATAATGTCCTGGTGCACGAGGCTCGTCCCAGCCAAGCAGATGTTGCGTCGACGTGTGTCGATGTAAGTCCGACTGACTCGGCAGATTTCGTGTTTCCTTATAGCCTTTGCAATTTGCTGCTACATACGCGAGATTTCGAAAGAGCTCTAAAAGAAGAGGAGAATCGCACGCACCGCGATTATACTTTCTCGGCTGAATTTCCCTTGAATATAAGGAAGTTTTCAGCGTGTCCACGGCATCGAAATATCCTTCACTTAACGTTATTCGAATTTTTCGTTTTACATATTGCGCACACCAATTTTTATATTATATTAGTAAGCTATAACATTATAGCTTAGTTATGGACGTTATAAAATTGCATTATAAGTGGCACTTTTACTCACATTATATCTGTTTGACAACTTTAGATTCATACGTTAGTAAAATAAACTTAGTTATAATATATAATTAAGTTATACATAATAAAACTGAATATGTACGATTTTAATTTTAATAGCAGTCACAACCGCAATTGTTCCTACGTGAGATTGTGAGAAATTATTTATCTCATTAAGCGTAAATAGTTGTTTCATAATGTTTAACAATTAATTTCCAAGATAATTATAATTTTCACTTTGAAACTTTGATTATGCCTCTAATTATGTCATATCCTTACATCATTATTATTAGAGAAGTTTTTGATAACATTATATCTTAGGCATTTTACGAAGAAAATAAGAGAACAAAGTACAGAAGCATTAAATACAAATTTAAGGATTTATAATACAAAGTATTTAGAATTATGTACGATAAAGCTTGATTACGCTTATTAAACTTTATTTCTAAGATGAATTAATAAAATCGTAACTTCTCAATGTAATAAGTCACAATGAGTTAACAACACCGGTTTTAACAGCATCGGTTAGTTTTAAATAAGTGTATTTAATAATCGTATTTAATAATACGATTTTTGCTTCGTAAATAATACGATTGACTATATTTCTCAGATGTACAACAATTACAAATATTTCTAATTATAATACATATATTCTGGATAAATGTAAGTATGAATTTTTTACTTCATAAATATTTTTAATGAATTATGAACAATTTGCTCTTTATCTTAAATATGCATAACAAAATTACATGATCAATGTATACTTGACGTTAATCAAGGATTAAGAAAAAAATTTTACTATTTACATTTAATACTAAGGAAAAAATGTATTGGTCGAGATTTACTCGTAAAAGAAAAGAAATAGTACATCTTGATCCTTGAATAAAATTGTCGGTGTGCAGACGAAAGAAAATACCAATTATTAATTGCCGTGCCAAGCAAATAGAAATCGATAAATCATAGGTATACAGTGCGTAAGTTGGAACAAGTATCCCAGGCTAGACATTTCATTCTTTTACATTCACGTACGATATGTCCAGGACTAAATTTTCACTCTGACTTACAATAATTTTTTTTTAATCATTCTTATTTCAGCGTGTGACACAGATCGTCACTTTTTCTCTCTTGCTAAAGTAAATTTCACAAGTTGGCGACTGTTATTCGGCAAATATATCGCAAATTACAAGTGCCAAGCAATCAAAGTAAAAGTTTTAACATACGTCCCGTCGAACTTCTGGCAGTGTTAAGTTCTATAAATTCATAAACCACTCACTTTCAACCTCTCACTAATATCCATAATTATATTATCATCGAGACTCATGACCCAAGCATCGTTGACCCAATGGCTCAATGACATGAAATCTGCGACTATGCTTATTCATCTTTATTCTTTAATATGGTCTTTCTCTTCCCGCGTGCCCTCTTCATCTTATTCTCTTATCTCTTATATCGGAATTTTTGTTGATTACATTTTATCTCTCCCCCGTGGGAGTATTACTTATAGAATTCCAATAAGGAGTCCATTTGACAGGATATACAAGGATACGTGAAAGTTGATGCCGGAAATACGTGTTGGTCGTAATGGGCCGCAATTTTATGAGGTCAATTCGCAATCGTTTCTGTTCCACTCGTGGGCGCAACAAGCGAACACTTATACTGAGCTTCACTCGTATGCTGTGAGATTTTATTCTTATTCGATTTACTTGATTTACATGAATGTGCAATTTTTTTGTTTGTTTTTTATTTTGTATGTATGTAAAAAAAGGATCCAACATTTTGCAAGAGAATTGAGAACAAGAAAATTATACTGCGCTTATAATGTAATACGAACATGGTATTTGATTTGCATTTGCGTAGAGCAGCATTATCACGAGCATGGGAATTATATATTTAGTCACTATTAGAAGTAAATGATAAGAGAACGTCTTTATTGAAACACAAATGCTCATATTATTATTGTTTTGTATTATTTGCAAGTGTTTGGAACTAAGCGCGTTAAAGTCCGTATCTTAGTCAAAGTGCAAGATAACGGAGCTTGCATAAAGACTGTAGTCACTCGTGTACCGTTTTTAACATATGTAGTAAGTATTACTAAATAAGATACTTTATACAATTACTCGGAGCGTCGAAAGTCAAATAATACTTAACGGTAATTAGATTCGGTGTAAAGAAGACAAAAAGTAGAAAAAAGTATTAAGAAAGAGAAGAAAAGTAGGGGAATAATGCGAGTATTGACGATATTTGCATAAGAGCTTCACCGCATGGAAAAAGGATCGGAAAATAATAGTCAATGGTCGTTAAATAAATCTATCCCCGATACGTGCAGCGGCAAATTCCAGTGGGGGAGGAACTTGATGCCGTGCATCCCGTTGCAGGTGGAGAGTACGAGGCGAGTGCGGAACAATCGACCCTTTGTTTAATCAATCCTTTTTCATTTAAGTGATTATTTAAATGAGCGCTCACGCGGCTCTTTACGACTCTGGCGCGCTTTTATAGTCCTCGCGGGATGCTAATGTGTCAATTATGCGCGAGTGTTTATTCAATTGGTCGCGAGCGGCTTGACAAAGTGTAGAGAAGCCGCTCGCGCTTATTAAGGATTCGCCTCGCGCGCTAGCGGCTTTGACGAAATTATTAACGACCGATGATTGATGCTGGAGCATTGTTTGAGGACCGAGCATAAATATTCTTTATTGCGAGCGCATTATGGTATTACGAATGAATACGGAAAGTATGCGATGCGGCTAAATCATTTGCTCACAGACGCAAGTGGCTGTAAAAATGTAGCCATTGATTTATTTTGATGTTTTTATAAAATTATGATGTATTGTATTTAAATATGTGAGACTCATCCTTCGTCATTTATTTTTTTTCTTCCTTTTTTCTCTTTCGATAATTACATTGTCCGCGATACCGCAATTAAAAGAAAGGACCGATTGGCTAGTGGTACAGTGGTGTAAAAAGTTTCTAATCGTAGCCGTGCGGAGTAGTCCCGAGGAGCGCAACATTTCTGTACTCGTAATATCAAATTATCATAACGGGCCTTTGTGCATTATTTAAGACTGTGTGTGACGTGACACGTGTGAAGGAAGGTAATTTGTCGAACGCTTATTTAATTTTATCGTCGATTTCGAATTTCTAAGTTTAGAAAGTGCGTGCTTAGTTATTAGACGTCTGTGTTGGGATATTAGGAATACGAAATTTCAATTGTGATGGAGATGGTAATTGTGATCTACCGTTAATTGAATAAAAATCTCGCAACGTAT